TATTATTATTTTTGAGTTTATTATTAAATAAAAAAAACTATGAATGCAATAATTAATATATACTATAGTTTTTTTTTTATTTTTTACTCAAAATATTCGATTTTTTGATTTTTTTTGCCAATCATTTAATATGAAATTTCCCCCGCATTTCCATAATAAATTGATTGACATTTCTCTGATTCATAGACGGATCATCAATTAAAACTCAAAATTTGCCACCTCCTTTAATACCCTTTGTGTCACTTTGATGGCTTTTGCTGTCTGTCATCTACTCTATAGATGGGTTACTGCTGCAGCTGGGTCAAATCTTATAGTAAAAGACCTATAAATTTTACTATTAGGCGCAACATTTGTGAAAATTCTGGAAAGATTGTCTCCAATTGTGTAGGCCAAATGATTTCGATTATCAATTATGAAAATTAATCGATTAGCATCCCTAAATGAAGACTTGAACTTAAAAATGTATTGTTAGTTATGCAATGATTATTCAACAATGTTCATGTATTGAAGCATCAATATTTTTGGCGAGTTTGTTAAGCGAGACATAGGATAATGAATGCTAAAAATTCCAAAGAATTGAACGATATTTGGTAAATTAGTGAGAAATCAACTCACTGATCTTTATATTGAACTTTTAAATGGAACAAAATTAACTTCATTGCCTAATATTAAAAGCAATTAAAAAAATAAAACTTCTGATTTTCAGCTTTCTTTTGATGTATTTTCATTCTCATTATTGAGAAACAAATAAAGAAAAATTTCCGGTTATTTTTGTTACACACTGTATTTGTATTTATTTATTGATTGTATCATTTATCTCATAAAAGAACATTAACACAAAACTACAAAGAACCCAGAAAAAAGGGAAAATTAGCAGAGAAATAATTTGCTGTCTAATATAATGAATATACACTCACCTGCCAAAAGTATCCGGACAAGATGTAGATCATGTAAATTTCCGCGACATTTCTGCGTGTTTTACACAAAAATACTCGAAAACTAGTGAGAAAACATGGCTTTTTGTCCTAAGTAACTGCATTTCAAATGTTCGAAATTGCATATTTTCATTAATATTTATAATCTAATAAAATATAGTTTTTGGGTGATATGTAAATTCTTAAAATTGTTTAAAAATATTGGTTCCCAAGACTTTTTTTTGTCCCATAAAATATCCCACATAATAATAAAAAGTCTGAAAACTTCATAAAAGAATTTAAAGCATAACAAACAAAATAAAAAAAGGATGATTAAAATTCGTTAGAAATTGATAGAGTTGTATGTATTGAGAAAATTTTCGAAAATTTTTCAAAAATCACAAAATTCAAAAAATTATTGTTTTGAATTTTTTGAATTTATTAAAATGACAAAAACAAGAGAACTTACAGATTTTGAGCGTGGTGCTATCTATGGTTTATGGAAGGGTAAAAGGCATACGATAAGAGAAATAGCTGAAGCTTTAGAAATTCCAAAATCTACTATTTCTGACAATATTACTAGGTATAAAAATTCGTCCTTTACTACTAAACCACGTACTGGAAGGCCCCAGATTTTGGATGAACATGACAAGAGAGAAATTGTAAAAATTGTAAAAAAAAAAAGAAAATTAGCTGTCGAAGAAATTAAAGATGAATTCAATATCGCCAAACCTATAGAAGTAAGTACTAGAACTGTACAGCGTGCTTTGCACTCAAAGGGCTATTATGGAAGAGTTGCAAAAAAAACCCCCTTTGTTAGTGAACAAAATCGCAAAAAACGATTTGGATGGGCTAATACGAGGATAAAATGGGTCAATGAATGGAATTATGTGATTTTTAGTGATGAGTCAAGATATGAAATATTTAATAATGATTCAAAAAATTGGGTTTGGCGGAGATCTGATGAAAAGTACAAAAAAGAATGTTTAAGACCAACTGTCCAAAAATCAAAGGGAGTTATGGTTTGGGGTTGTTTTTGCAAAGACAGAATAGGTCCTCTCGTATTAGTTGACGGAAGTGTCAACTCTAAAACTTATATTGAAATACTTAGAGAAAATTTGATACCATTTTTAATTCAGCTTGGGCCAAGTAATTATATCTTTCAGGATGATAATGCTTCTGCACATAGATCTCAAGTTGTCAATCGATGGAAGGAAGAAAATATGATAGTGACACTACCTTGGCCAGCCCAAAGCCCTGACCTTAATCCAATTGAAAATATATGGGCAGAATTGGAAAGAAAAATACGAAATTATAAAGTTAAACCAAAGAATCAAAGTGAATTATTTGATGCACTTAAAACAGAGTGGTATAATTTAGATATAAATTATATAAATAGATTAATATATAGTTTGCCTAGTAGAATTTATCAAGTGAAGATGAATAAAGGGAACCCTACTAAATATTAATAAAATTACATTTTGGATTTTTGAATTTTGTGATTTTTGAAAAATTTTCGAAAATTTTCTCAATACATACAACTCTATCAATTTCTAACGAATTTTAATCATCCTTTTTTTATTTTGTTTGTTATGCTTTAAATTCTTTTATGAAGTTTTCAGACTTTTTATTATTATGTGGGATATTTTATGGGACAAAAAAAAGTCTTGGGAACCAATATTTTTAAACAATTTTAAGAATTTACATATCACCCAAAAACTATATTTTATTAGATTATAAATATTAATGAAAATATGCAATTTCGAACATTTGAAATGCAGTTACTTAGGACAAAAAGCCATGTTTTCTCACTAGTTTTCGAGTATTTTTGTGTAAAACACGCAGAAATGTCGCGGAAATTTACATGATCTACATCTTGTCCGGATACTTTTGGCAGGTGAGTGTATTATCTTTTAAAGATTTAGGATGTTAAAAAAAAAAGAATTTGTATGAGTTGGTTTGACTTGCTTAGGTTTTACTTCAATTATTTGTTCTTTTTTAAGTGAATTTCTCACATATATTTTCTTTTTCTTTGGTAACGTTGGTAATGACTTGTTGGCTAAATATAATTCTTGTTTCAATTGCTGAATTTCTTGGGCTTGTTGGTTCATCTCTTGTTGAATTGCTTGCAGTTCATTTCCCTTACCTTTTAAGGTCGGAAGAATACCTTGTGTTTCTTGATTCTTGACTTTCTCTAACTTTTCTAAGTTTTCAGCTAATTGTCTTTACTTCATTCTTGGGCTACTTCTAAGGCTTCAAGGTGACATTCAACTTTTTCTTCTTCTTCCTTAACTTTATTTTCTAAATATTCAACCAATAATTCCTTTTCTTCCGATTCTTTTTCTAGTTCTTTAATCTTTTCCTTTGAATCTACACTTCTTTCCATAATAAAATCATATTTTCAATTTACTTGTTCAACTTCTTTTTTTAGTTCTCTAATTTCTTTTTGGTAAGTTTCTTTCAGTAAAACAATTTCCTTACTTTCATATTTCTCTTCTAACACCTTTATTTCTCTTTCTAATTCTTTTTATTCTTTTAACTTCTTTTCAATGCTAAGATAGAGACTTCTTCTGTCCTATCTGACTTAGAAGTGTTTTCTTTTAAGTCTTTTTCAACTTGATGTAATTGTCCAGTTTGGTCAATAAATCTTTCCTCTCAGTCTTCTGATCTTTCAATATTAGTTAGTTGATCTTCTAATTGTTCTTGTCAATTACTTCTTTTATCTCAACCTCGGGACTTAAGAGATAAATGCATCCCTCCATAAATGCACTGCACAGTCTTTTCAAATCTCATTCATATAAAACCACCCCTCTCTAAATGCATGCCCATGACTTTCACGTGATCAATGTGCAACAAGAAACAAAATTTATTGCATTACATCAATTAATTATTTTTCATCTATTACACTCATAGTCACACTAGTTTTGTAATAAAAAAGATGATGGTGATTATTGACCTGTTATAATAACTTTTTGTCCACTTGATTGTTTACCATCCCACAGATTCACATAATGAAGAGGGAGTGGAAGAGGAAAACTAATCACAAAAAAAAGACAATAAGAAAATATATCAATACTGATCTAGCTCAAGAAATGCTGACAAACTTGAGACTATGCCCTTTAGAAGGACAATGATGGTTATGAAAGAATGGAATTGATGTTTTGGATCCAATAAAAAAATCAAATGATTATTCAAAATTGTGTATAGATTAATGCTAATTTTGTAAATAATTGTTATTCTATCTTTGAATTATCAAAGTAAATATTAATTTATTTTTCATTTTAGATCCTTGTGGATTGGTGTTGTGAATCTACAAAATCATCCCACAGATTCACATAATGAAGAGGGAGTGGAAGAGGAAAACTAATCACAAAAAAAAGACAAAAAGAAAAGAGACAAAGACCGATCTACCCAAAGAAATGCGACTAGCTCAAGAAATGCTGACAAACTTGAGACTATGCCCTTTAGAAGGACAATGATGGTTATGAAAGAATGGAATTGATGTTTTGGATCCAATAAAAAAATCAAATGATTATTCAAAATTGTGTATAGATTAATGCTAATTTTGTAAATAATTGTTATTCTATCTTTGAATTATCAAAGTAAATATTAATTTATTTTTCATTTTAGATCCTTGTGGATTGGTGTTGTGAATCTACAAAATATTTCTTGTGCAAAGCATATTCCTACCTCTTTAATCAGTTATATACAAGAGCAACTCACTAATGAAAATAATGATATCATCTACTTTGATGAATTTAAACATCATAGGATACAGAAATTGGAATTGGATGTTGATGAAGATGTAAAGAATTACCTCACAAAATTTGAAAATATTGTAGGTATTTTTGTACTTGATTGATTTTACAATGCAGAATTCGACAATATAATTGATACATTTATGTATGTATAAATCATCATTTTCATTATAGACTATTCTAGAAGAATTAAGAATAGCATTGGACAATAGCCCTGTTCATCACAAGACTAACATAAACAATGATATTCTATATACATATCA